AAAGCTGGGGTGACCTGTCTGCACTTCCGAGAGAGGAGAAGCAGGAAGATAATATTTGAAAGAGGCACCAGGAAGTTAATCTGTCTGAGCGTGACCTGAATGTTACCCCATTTTTTTTTGTTTCTCTATGCCGTTCTCTAAAGAAAAGCCAATTATTTTTCAGAAGAATAGGGGCCTCTCATGTTGTTATTCATCATGTGGCACATGAAACACCAATGCTAACTCTGAAACTGCGAGTTAAACTTGTCCTTTCATCACGTATGGTCATCTCATCACTAGGCTGGTGACTGCTCAAAGCTGCCTGAAAGTGGTTGGGCCCCAGACAACTGAACTTTTATGCATCAGTACAAAAGCAGCAAAGAAGATGAGAAGGAAAACTTGTTTGTCCCAAGGGATGCAGCATAGTGGTTTGAGTAGTCCTACCTAGAAAGTCACTTGTGGCTTTTATAATAAGGAACTTAAGGTTTGAATTTTCAGACTTATTAGCTGTACATTTGTTTGTTTTTTATTAACTTAATATACTATGTGCCACATTTTCCTTGGGGTATTGAGTCAAGTGATGGATTCATCCAGTTTAGCTCTAAATGCGTGGGCTCTCTTTTTCATAAAACTTTGAAGAGATTTGGGTCTCAAATTTCCAGAACGATTTTATTTTATGCCTGTATATTTTGGTACAGCAGCTAATGTTTTCTGTCCCATTTCCTTTCTGAGAATACGTGCTTCTGGCTAATGTAGAGAGGGAATGTAGATTTTGTTTGTTCTCTTTCTTGACCCGTGAGAATTAGAGTTGTCTTCTTATATGAGCAGACACAGTTAAACCACTTTAGTCTACAAAAGAGTCACTGGAAGTTTCCAATCCCCTAGCTCTCTGCTTCAATGGAAAGAAAAACAGGTTTTAAAAAGTGTGAGAAAGATATGGCTATTAAGCTAATCCAGTATACCTCATCTAGCTGCTAAAAATCTCGACTGTTAAAAGTGATTAAATGTAATTGCATCAGTAAAGGTGGTGTAAAAAAAGCCCCGAGTTTCATTAGAAGCTATCTTTAGGAAACCCTGATTCCTTGGCTTACAAAGTTACATATAACATTGCTGTTTTATTTTGGGAGTGCTTTGAAGGTTTCTTAAACCCAGGGTTATATAGAAAGAATAAATAAAACCCAGCAGGACAAATACACAGTTCTGAAGTATTCTTCTAGGTTTCATTATATATCCACAGTGCATGTGCTTTATTCAAAAAGAAAATTGGGCACAAAACTGAAAAGTTAATGGATAAATATTCAACTGTCTTAAAGAGCTGACCAAATAATAAAGATATTTGGAAGAAAAAAACAAATTAACAAACCACTACCTGTGTGGTGGATAAAATTGTCATAAGATGGAATGGAAGGACTCCTGGTAATTTCAGGTAAAGCTATTGAATTAATTGTTTTTTACATTCTTCAGTTTGAAAATGAATCTGTTCATTATTTTAAGAGCTGAAAAACAAAGTTGCCAAACTTTTTCTCGTTTTCATATCTTTAAAATCTGAGGTGTATCATGTCCATAACACTGCACAGTATTTATAGAGAATTTAAAATTTCTCCAAGTTATGCTGTCTGAAAAAGCTCTTCTAGACAGTAAGATATTAACAAATTCATCAGTTATGGTCTAATGCAGAACACCACACGCTGTTTTGTATCCTTGGAGCTGAACTGGATATTTGCACTTTTGGGTTTGTTTTGTTAGATTATGAGAAATTGTGTAAACTGAAACAGGACTGTAAAACCTCCGTCAGTGAAATACGGAGAATTACAAAATAATCTGATTCTTACATAGCTTTGGCACTGCCAATGTTAAATGTTACTGCAGGTATTTATTGCAAGAGCCTCAGTTACTGCAAAGAGAAAAGTACAACAGTGAGCCTTGTTTGCTTAGAGAAACCACATACTCCCAGTGTGTTCCGGGGGAATAATCACACACTTCTTGTGGGTATTCAGGAGAAGTGATAGTTCTGAAGCAGTGAATGCTATTGATAATGTTTCCACTGGGAAACACAGTAAAAATGCATTTAGCTGTTCCCCTACATGAAATTTAAGCGAAGTTTAAGTCCAGATCGTGCATGGCCTGTGGTGAGATGTTGAACTAAACACTGATGTGTCTTCTCCACATAGAGGCACTTTCTGCTTAAAAGTTGGTGGAGATATTAAAACCATGAAAATGTGTTGATATTTAGGGCATTTAATGAAATATTCAAAACATGTAAGTGCACAGACACGAGGTAGACACGCACTATGCAACAAAAAGATGATGAAAAGTCAGTCCCTTCTGAATTCGTTATTTCTATTCTGTTTAACTATTTACCTCTTACTTTGAGAATCCCAGTGTGGAAAAATATTTTTATAATCTGTTTGGCATTTTTGGCCCTCATGCAATTTTGATTCATGAGTTGAAATCCTGTTGCTGTGGAAATCAGCTGAATTGTTGATCAGCTTTGAATTTCTCCCACAAGTGGAGGCAACTGAGGGATATCATCTAGGCCAATTGTGTACATGATGTTGGCCATAGTGTTCTCCCTTTTATTCCATATGAGTGGGAACTGTGTTTCAGTGATGGTGGAAGTCAAGATTTCCCAATGTTACTGCAGTGAGTTCACTCATATCAAGGGCAATGAGGGTGTTTGACAGAGATGTTTGAGCTGAAAGGAGCTGCTCGTCACCCACATAAATCCCACTGGACACAGACCTCCCCTCCGCACAGGAGGAAAAGCAAGGTGCCCAGGACTTGTCCAAGAGATCACCAGGGGTTTTCCCCCAGATTTCTAGAAGAAAAAAGGCAAGTCAGCAAGTCTGAGATGTGTAGAGAGCAGTGAATTGTGCTGCCCAGCGTTCAGAGTGGCAGATGTGCTGCTGTCACTGCAAGGTGCCCATGGCAGGCTCTCGGGAGGGTGCCAGGGCAGTGACAGGGAGCTGTGCTCCCTCCTTGCCTGGCCTTTGGGGGTCTGTTCACGGGGGTGAACCTGGCAATTCTCTGGGATTCTGCCCACAAGTGGGAGGTTGGTTGCTGGGCAGCTCTTGGCCAGTTGTCATCATCAGCTGTCCACGACTTCCTCTGCCCCTGCCCCATACCAGCACCACTAGCAAGGGGTGTAGTTTTTCTCTGATGACTTTCAGAACAGCTGAAATAAAAATAAACACTGGTTTTTAGGAAGTCAAAAAAAACCCAAACCCACTTATAATATAAGCTTGATATATGGCTTGGGAGGAGGGGTTTAGGTTAAACTGATTTTATTAGAATTGTGCGAGGAAGTGAAACTCGGAGTGGCAGCTCTGTGTCTCCTTGTCTCTGCCCCCCGACTGGGAGAGAGGGCTGCGGTAGGAATTGGCTGCTGTGGGCGGGGTGGGACAGGAATGTGCTGCTGTGCTGCTCTCCCAGGCCCGGGGCTGGCAGGGTGGCAGTGAAAGCAGAGCCGTCCCCGCGCTGGGAGTGCCAGGTGCTGGACCTCAGCAGTGCTCACACTCGGAGGGTATTTCTGGCTTTCCTCAGCTTTGATCCTGCCACTGAATCTGCGGGGGTGCAAAAATCCACCCACACAGATCCGATGTCAAAATCCTGGCCTTAATTATTTATGGTTTGCTTTGGACAAATTACTGTTCTCTCTGCAATAACCACAGTTATTACCAGAAATACAGAACAATCTAAATCATACATATATACATTATGTAGGTATGACATTTATTTTTTTTTAAGACTGTAACTTTATTAATGAGTTTTGAGGCTTAACTGAAATTCTCATTTCTCAATCTTACCCTGTGCTGCTTTTTACCTGACCAGACTGGTCTAGATCTACAGCAATTAATTCTCAGAAGAAAACAGCTCATAATGTTTATAACCTGAAATCCAACTTAGAACTGAAAAAACATCCAGCTTTATACACCTTGCACCAAGATCCTAGTGGTTTGTTAAACTGCAAATGGACTTTACTAGTTTCCTGCACAAAAGAGACCCCCTTTTTTAAATGTCTCTGGACTCTGTTCACGAGACTAATCCATCTCAAGTTAAATCATTTTCATCTGAGCGTAAATAAAAAATGAATCTCTTATGAAAAAAACCCAAACCTTTTCATGTAGGACAGTACATTTAATGAAACAAAAGTAAAATCAGAATTTTACAGCAAAATCAAGCATGCCACTGCAGAGCTAGGCAATGCCAGCCAGCACCATTCTTTAATTAGAGTAAGTCAAACTTTGTGGCTTATGTGTTTCCCAAAGTCTTTTTCTTTATTTCTTTTCACCTTACTTTTTCCTAAATTTTTAATCATAAATTAATGCTGATATGTTTGCTGTCCTAATGGTTACAAATAGGCTCACAGCAGTTGAATGTTGCTTTAAATTTGGATTCTTGTCTTCATTTTTTTCCCTTAGTAGAACCATGTGAAAAAATCTACTCTCTTCAACGGTTCGTAGGTAGGATATTGCCAGCCTGGTCGTTTCACTTCTTGCATGTGCTCAGTTGGAAGTCAACTGAAAATCAGCAGAAGCTTCCAGGTAATTCTGTGCCTGCTTAGAATTATGTAAAATTGAGTTTTGTTTGAAGTTAAAATCTGCACCCCAGCTTTCAGTGAGGTGCCAACCTGGTACTCTAAAGCGTGTTTCTGATTATTTGGTTTTGATCTGATGGGAGAGTAGCACTACTTCTGGTTTTCAAGTTAATGCATGCTTCTGGCTCTGAGGTTCCAGTGCAGTGTGTTATGGATATGGATTGCAATCCCAGTCTCAGTGTCCAAAACAGTCATGGGAAATACATGTTTTGCACATGTTATTATTGAGGAAAACCAAATGGCAGTAAAAGTACTCCAGAATGGAAAAAAGCTTTCTAGTAAAAATCACGTTTATGTGAGTGACCTGTGTGAAAATCACAGAACCTCACAAAGCACGGCGGATCTGTCTCATCAGAAACAGTTCACTCCCTGTTCAGTAGAGAGTATTTGCAGTTTTAAAAAATATAATACAGCATTAGTACTTTTCCAGGTTCTTAAACAATGCAAAAGACCTTTTCTAGTTTAGTACGGTTAGTTTTTATTTTCAAATCATGGTTGTGTTTGATACTTCCTTAAAAATGTTCTTAAGCTTTCAGAATTGCACGTTCCAGAGCTTTGGTTCTCTGCAGGTTGTGTTGGAACTGATTGTTTTCTAAGCCTGAACTAAATCTCTTGAAGGGTTCCTCAGTCTTCTCCTGATGGAAAGCAATGATAACTTAAGTCAGAGGGAGGGGCCACTTAAGGCTTTTAATGATGGGAAGCCAGTTACACAATGGGGAAGAATTTTGCCCTTAATATTTGTGTATTTTCTGCAGAATGATCAGATTCTATCATGAACTGTATGGATATTATGATTATTTTTTTTTAAAGATTGCGAGCCAAGGTTTTAAAATTACTAGTAATTCTGGCAACGAGAGTGTCAGAGAACCAAACTTGAGGCCTTGCTGATACCCCTTCCAAAGATTTCAAAGCGTTCAGCTCTGTGCAGGAGATCCACCCATAAAGTGTCTCAGGTTGGGATACAAAAGTCCAAACTTGTCACCTTTCAGCCTTTGACCTAATTCAATTTTTATGAGAAATTGCTATAAATATATACTTGCCAAATAATACAAAGTGATATCTGATAGTTTTCCACAGTAAAAAATTGTCTGCGTGTGTACATCTGTATGGAAAACTCAGGGAATGTGGTACAAACAAGTGTGTTTCACCTTTCAAGCTACAGCTGGATCGTGGCTTTTCAAAATCCGCGGATTTTCTCTGTAGATCAGTCTTCCAGTGTCCTTTGTTGGTGTCTTTTCTAGCTTCCAGCTAGAAAGCTAGTGATAAAGCGTCAGAACTGCACCCTTTTAAAAGAAGAAAAGCAGGGTAGGCATCTGTAATAGCAGTGTAATGACACCAAGTCTGCATGTATGGTTTAGAATTGTTTGCCTGAATCCTCATTCGTTGGCACATGGACAGTTTCTCCAGTGCTTTATCTCCATATGATGTTTTGCTGCACCAGTCTGGCATCATCAGACATCCTCCCACCAGCATTTGAAAGATTTTTCCACACAGCCATAAAATTGCACCTTCCCCCTTGCCTGTGCATCCAGCAGCTGTAATAACAGCAGTGGCACAGTGTGCCCCCCTCCTGGAGGGCTGAGACAGAGCAGCAGGGCTGGGGGCTCAGTGAAGGGTGAGCTCGTGTCCCGAGGCTGTGCCTTCCTGTTTGAAACGAGTGCCTTGGAAATGTTTATCTCAGCTGGAAGTGAGAACTGGTCTGTCTGTGCTCCCCAGTTCCCCCTCGAGAAGCCGTGCAGTGGAACAGCTGCACAGCCCTTCACATCCTCCTCGTGCTGGTAAACATTTACATCTCCCCCTTCGGTTCTTTGCCAGGCTCCCCCTGCTCTCGTGTGGGGTTCGGGTAGAGGGTTGCAGTAGTGGATTTAGGGTTTCTGCAGAGAAGAGCGAGAGGGAGGGATCGGTCCCGTGCAGGAGGACTGACAGTCCATGTTCAGCGTCACGCAGGAGGGAGTTTCTTTGTGTTCTGCCAAAATGTATTTCAGTGTAAAATGTCTTGAGGCTGGTTGGGGCTACTTCTATAGAGAGCAGACCAAAGTATACAATATACTGGCTTCTCTTTTGCTGGTTTTGGACAGCCAGGGCTGCTTTCCATTTCCTACAGTGTTCCAATATAACTAAGTCATGTGTGCTTGGTAATGGAGGCTTCTGAGACCTGGGGCTTCTGTAAAATGGAAAAGAACAAAGTATTATTTATACAGTATAATATTTTGATTTGCTAATGAGCTGTGAGGTGGGTGTTGTCATGAACTACTGTGCAGCAAAAGAGGTTCCTAAAACATGCATCAGCTTACTCCATCTCCAAATCATTGCAGATAACACAGTGTTTAGTTTCTAATTAGACCTGTGTTGTGCTGATTCTCCTGAGCAGTGTAGGTGATTGCAGGAGCTCGGTGCATCCAGCCTCTCTGAGAGACTGATTGGCAGGATGAGCACACGCTGATTGGTGTGGCCTTGCTCTGAGGGGGAAGGAGGAAATAAAGGCACATAACCTTCAATTAGACTAATGATATTCTAGTCCTAAAAGGATTAGGAGAGAAACATTTAACTGAAAATAAAAACCCAATGTATAATAGTTCACAAATCATTTATTTATTTTGGATAGCTTTTTGCACTGTTTCACAGGAGAGGATGGACATTATTCTTTTTCCATGCCTCAATCCCCTATATTAAAAATACAGATGGTTCATCCTAAGTGCTGGTTTCTGTACATGTGAGTAATAAGTGTAACCTTCAAGGCAGAATCTTGTGAACTGTTTCTTGATGGAACATGCCAGAGCAGCATAGGCATTTTACATTGCTGAAATTATTTCTGGATCATTTTTACTAGAAGTCAATGTAGCATTTGATTTTTTCACCGCCTTTAAATACCTTTTTTGTTTCAGCCATTGGAAGTCCCACGTGAGGCTGAGCTGTTCCTCTGCTTGAGGGGCTGGAGCCCCTTTTCCGTGTGTTAAAGGAAAGGGGCTGGCTAAGGAGTGGCATTTTCCCAGGATGATCAAGCTGTGGCTTGCTGCAAGTCCCATCTGCCCTCTCCACATGCAGCGTTGGAGGCCCTTCCTGGAACAAGCTCCTCGGGGATTTACCTGTGAGGTTGCTGCTACAGGGTCACTGGGAAGGCAGATGGGACACAGGATGGCAGACTTGGACCAGTTGCACTTGGCAGAGAACAGATCTATGGAGTAGCACAGTCACTGTATGGGGCAGAATTTCTATTTAAATGGTATTCCTTGTGGATCTCGTCCCCAGTCTGGTACAAATAACAGTGGTGCCGTGCCCCTGTTGGATATTCAGAATTGCCAGGTGGGCTCACAGGCTGCAAAGGGGGTGTTTGTGCAGATCATGATACACATAAAGGTATTTGGTTCTGTCTGTGTGCTTCAGTAATACTTTTTTGCAGGCTATGTAAATCAAGGTTGGAATTTGCTTTGTCAGTTGATGTCAGGTTGAATTAAGTCAGCCTTGAAAGCCTCAACCATATCCCAGGTAATAAAACTTAATCATGAAGTAAGAACCATAAATTTGTCTTCTGCTTGAGAAAGGAGGCGGTAAGGCAACCCAAACTTCCCATTTACTTCCTTTTGCTGTTTCTATTTTGTCTATCAGAAACTGCAAAAGGAAGGTTTTGGACCTTGTGAGAGCATTAGAAAACTTGAAAAAAAAAATCATGTGACGCAACCACTCACTTGACCCAGCTATGGGCAACATGTTTGAACTCTATGAAACTGCCAAGTGCTGACACTTTGTAACCTTGAGTAGAGGTGTGCCTGCTGCAGATCTGTGGGATGCAGATTTGCTCATTTGCTCATCTTTCACTTATGGGGTTTTTCCAGTTTCTCTTTCACTGCTGCTCCATTAAAATAGTGCAGCTCCCTGGAAGGCTGCAGGCATTGAAAGGGCTGCAGCATTCAAAAGAGAAGTTTGGGGTCCTTTTTCTTAGTCAAACAATTTTTTATATGCCAAGTGCAATATTTTATGCTGCCCAAGGAAAAGGATACTGTTTGCCACACTTTAAAATAACACAAAAGCTGTTCCACCTCTCCTTGAAGCCAGTGACAAGATTCCACTTGCTTTCAGTGGGAATTTGCAAAAGACCTGTGATGCAATTTCTATCAGAGCAGAAGAAACCTGTGAGTTCATTGTACCAAGGAAATGTAAAATGAATGAATTTCATGCGATTTCATTTGCACAATTCAGAGAGAAACTGCTTTGGTTTTGGAGGAAGTGTCCTGTAAAGCTGTTGCTCAGGCTCTCACACGTGGTGCAGAGAAAGAAGTGACTGCGCTCAGACCTGCTACTGTTCTGTTGGAGTGTGTGTTAGAGCACAGGGAAGGAGGGACCGCCTTGTCTGGGGTGTTCCCTTCAGTTTGGAAGGTGAAGTGTCCAGCTACTGTTTGAATGTGTAATAATCGCCAGGAAATCTCAAAGTCAGTGAACTAGAGCATCCTAAGTAAGTCTTGTGCAAAGCAGAGGTTGAAATGGAAGAACTCCAAGGAAAACAGGTCTCTCTTTGAAGTGAGTTTTCCCTTGGGTTTCCCTGCCACAAGGCAGCAGGAGTTTGGCTGTCCCTGTTCTCTGTGCGCCTGCTGCTCCCTGTGCCTGTGCAGCCCTGAAAAAAGGAACCTAGCAGTGAACCTGTGGCATCACCGGGGCTTGTGTGAGGGGAAATGTGTGGAGAAGTGTACCTTGCAGACACCCACATCAGTGGCGTGGCAGGAAAAAGGAATGTCTCATGTTCTCTCCACGTGAGATCAGCCTTAAAATTCTCCAGAGCAATGAGGCTTCTCTGTAGCTGTGAAGAGCCCTGGGGCCTTCTCAGGCATTCTTGCACTTCTCAGCTTATTCCTGTTGCACCTTGATAGAGATAAGACTAATTATTAGATCCTCACCTTTAGACTCCCTGCAGTTACTCAGTGCACAATTTACTTTATCTATCATTTTCTACTCTAGCCTTACAGTTTACTTTGGGGAGATTATATTCTTGCTGCTACTGGAAGAATTTGGCTACCAGCAAAGAACATGGTTTTGAACTCCATGGGATGTTACTGATGTGTAAATCGTCCTATATCTTCCAAATAGTGGCCACTCCATCACTTTTCACAATATACCTCACCTTAAGATTGGGAAATAATTAGTGATTTTGGGTGATCAGCTTCAGCAACCTTCAGAGGGACCCAAAATCTTCAGAAATTGCTGTTATGGAAGATTGCATCTTCTAAAATCACATTTCCCTAAGTTTTGAAAATGTAAGGCTTGCATCAGTATTCATAAGAGACCCAAGCTCAGCACTACTTAATTAAAGAATACCTTCATGGAAAGTACTTTACATGCACAGTAGGTGCATTTTATAACCTCTTTGAAATGAATGTGTAGAGCCTAATGTTAGCAAAAAGGCAAAAGTTACCAACCAGAAGCATTTGAAACTGAGGATGAGCATGTTGGTCTCCTGCTACTGGCACTGGATTTCCTTGTTGGAGGTGTGAAGGATCAGTGCTGAAGAAGAACTGAAGAACACTTCAGACGTTCTGTAACATTTCTGTTCTCTCCAGGTCTATGTGAAGTTGGAATATTTGTGCACTTATGTTGATTTACCTCCACATTAATGTCAGTGAACTGACTCTTCCACAAAGATAGAAGACACATTTTCTTACTGACCTGGAGAGAAAATGATTCTCTGGTGTTTATTCTGATGAATTTAAAGATATTTCACACACATTTCCCCAAATTCTCTGCTTGTATGCACTGGCACAGCATCACTCTATTCAAAGCAAGCATATACGTTTATGTGGCAGGTGCTTTGGCTTTGGTGAACTACAAATGGTTTGTTCCCAGTTCCTGAGTAACCAAGAGAGGGAAAGTTTTCCCAAGTTTGGAGTGGAGCTCTCCTATAAGGTGCACGCTCTGGGTGAGTCGGCCCCAGCCTGTGAGGTGTGTGTGTATCCTAAAGGAGATGGACTGGAGCTAGTGTGCTCTTCTGGTTCAGCTAAAGAAGGGGAGGAGGAGAGGGCTTGGTGAAGAAGGAAAGCTCCGAGCACTGCCAGCAGTCTTGAGGGGGGTTCAGTTCAGAAAGTCCAAAACTGCTTAAAGGAACAGTGCAAATATTTCCCATCCTTTCTTATGAAATGACATGGTTTGTTTGCTGTTGCTTGTTCGTCTGCTCTGCATGGTACGTCACATTTATCAATAAAACAGACTGTAGGGGGTAACGGTACTTAAATGTTTATTTTATGATGTTTTGGCTTTTGCTGTGTTTATTCTGCGTTTTCTGGCTAAATTCACACTCAGATAGCTTTTTCTTTTGCTGTTACAGCACATCTGTCTCGGACTGCCCTTAAAAAGACAAAGCAGTGATCTGGCAAAATGAACTCAAAACACACAAGGAGGAGCCATTGGAGACTAACCTGCAAGGTGTTCAGGTATTTGCACTTTCATATCCTACACCAGCAATTGGTGCACACGTGGTGTGCCCTGCAGTTCCTGCACTGCAAGGAAAATGTTCTTGTTAACTCACACAAAGTGATGAGAAAATGCTGTAAAAAAATAAAAAGTCAGGGCAAGGATGAAAGTTGTTTAGTGAGAATGCCCCCTGCAACTTAAAGAGGGAGCCAGGTTTGAAAAGGTGCCGTGGCTGTTGGAGCTCCAGGTTCAACACACATGGATGCTGCTGAAGGTTCCCTCCCGTGTGCTACTCCCCAGAGCACCGATGGCCATCTGGGCAGTGGGGGGCAAAGAGGTTTCTTCTCTGGCACGCACTGGAGCAAAGGGAACAGTCTCTGCTGACGGGCTAAGGCACTGCAGAACTCCCAGTGACCTCAAGCATTGGGTCCTGGTTTAGGCTTACAGTGCGGGCATTTTGGTTCCCAGGGATGCCCGGACATCCCATGTACCACTTGCCAGGCCTCAAGGATTTTAGAGAGCTTTAAGTTGTGTGTATGTCTTGCATACAGCTGAGAGAAGACCAGATGTTTACAGTTCTTCCCAGTGCCAAAATGAGACTTTCTAGTTGGACAACAGGAACAATCCAGATTATAGGGAAATAGATTTTTGTTTTAGGGGTACATAGAGGAAAACGTAGCAAGGCCTGCTGAGCCTGTGTTCTGTGTCTCTGGAGGAAGGAGAACACTTTGGGTGGTGATTCCCTTTCCACACTCCTCGTGAGCGGGTGGTGACAGACGTACTGTGGATGTGCAAAGCGACAACTTAGCAGCAACAAGGAATCCCGTACGTGTCTGTATGATGATGTAAGTGTTGGCTGTACACAGCTTGGTCCCTTTGCAGCTGATCAGCTGGGGAGGCAAATGGGCTACTGAGGGGCATAAAGGTGAGAGTTGTGCTTGCAGAGTCCCTCAGTCACTACCAGGGCAGAGAAAAACTTTTACTGGGACAGTCATTGCAATGTTATCTCATTGCAGTGATTAAGCTGTTGCAATTAACATTGCAAACTGTTGTTCATGAATTAAGTATTTTAAACAAACCCACAAAAGGTACTTCCTAAGGGTTTATATTTCATGGTTATGTCACTGACATGTGACAAATCACTTTCCTTAAATGTTACACCATATGTGACTGGCTGAAAAGCAAATATGAGTAAACAGCAAAGTCACTCTGAATATTATTTTAATTCCTGAGCTTACATAGTGTATCAGCTTCCAGATATTTATTCAAGTTGATATTTTATTATGTGTGCATTCCCGTGGTTTTGGCAGTGCGCTCACAGACAGTGTTGATGTACTCTTTCAGATTCTGCTACCAAAGTGCTCCTGTGACTTCATGCAGTTTGCTTCATCTGAGTGAACCTCAGATAAGTCATGCAAAATTTGTATTAAATCCCAGAGCACCAGGTTTTGCTGCACATAATGCAGATGTAACACGTGGCACCAGTGACTGATGGTGTAGCACTGTTAGTACTTTTCAGTGTTTTGTCTTCAGTGGCCTTTTTTTTTTTTTACCAACCTTGGACCTCCAGTGCAAGTAGTTGCTCACAGTGGCATCCCAAAAAGTAAAATCCAGTGGTGAAAATTCTTGGTTTTTCCTTCTAAGTGTTTTTGAATCTTGGGTCAGATCGTTTGCCTTGAGAACATCCTCAGTCTCACTTTGGAGCTACAGTATTCTTTGGAAGAACAAGAAACTGCTGTCAGAATCTCCTCATGTAGATTTAGGAAAGGTTTCTGTTCAACTTTGATGAGTGATACTGTTTTCCTGTAAGAAGATTAATTGTATCTAAAGCATTTACACTTTCAAGCCTTTTGAAAATAAGTACACTCTAGATTAAGAAGTGATTTTCTACCCAGTTACGTAGTTCCTTCAGAAGAGTTAACACTCATGGAGAGGAGAAATGAGCCTTGCGTGAATTTTATTGACAATAGATAGGAAGAATAGTGCCTGAGAACATTCTATAACCTGAAATTATGGACTTATTCTGTACCCAAAGGTGGTGGTCAAACAAACATCCCATATTTTAGATATGAGTTACTGACCTTAATGTTCTCAAAACTCATCGTTATGGGGAAGATAGACTTTACTTTGAATTTCAGGTTGGGATCGGTCCTCAAAATAAGAAAACTCTAGAAGTCAAATTTTCCTCTTAGAAATTTCAGACAATATGTGGTTTGAGAAACTGTGAGTAACAAGCTATTTTAGAAAGGAAGGTTTTTTTTCCTTCTTAGGGAAAAAATTGCACTTAATGCTTGTTGCAAACCTTTCATGTTTCTAACACAACCTGATACACTGTTTTTTAAATAAATTTTAATTGTAATATAACAAAACTGCTTACAGGTGTTGCTGTATTTGAGATGCAGATTTTAATTTGGCTTGGTTTTCATAGAAGGAGTACTTCCATTTCACAAATTTTGTTTAACTTTGGGACTTGAAAAATTTGAAATCAGTGTATTACCACAGTTGGTATTTCTAGAAGATGATGGCGTTTTAAAAGGAATTTTTCCTAATTGGGACCTAAGTTGCATATATTGAACAGTAATGTGGAGAGGGAAGAGGGTTTCAAATGTGAATTAACTCTGAGTTATAGTGACTCATAACTGACAACAAAACACCCAAGAAGAGACATGATTCAGGATGAGATGAAATGAGACAAGCCATGAAAGAAGGAACAGATTTATGAGTTATTGGCCCACAGATGGAATGAGAAGATATACGAGTGGAGAATGAGATCATCACTCAGAGCTGTGCTGGGGGAAAGGAGGGGGCTCACAGGACACATCCCAGTAACCTCTTGTGGATAGTAGGAGGGTTGATTTAAGCCACAGGAAAATCAGTATTAGTATGATATAAAGATGGGTTAAATCCCAAACCTCAGAGGGGCCTGATTTTTCTCCCCTTGCACTTCAAAACACAAAGAAAACAACAGTCAGGCCGACCCCGAACCTCCAACAGTACGTGGAGACTTCGCTCCGTGATGGTAATCCCACCTAGCTAAAATCACACCAGCATGCTTTCAATTTTGGAAATGCAAGGCAGTTTTCAGCAGTTTAAAGAAGTTGCTGCATTGCTTAAAATAAAGACAGGAGGCAGAATTTTCACCTTCAATCTAAACAATGCAGCAGTTTTCTGAAAATGTTAAAATCTGGCTTTCATCCCTAAAGCTGAAAGCATGTTTCCAAGTAACTGCATCCTCTGTGCTACCAAGCCATCACTTGTGGATTATAAATGGTGGAATTGATTGCCAAGTCTGTTTTGGGGAAATTTCAGTTGGCAAAATTATAATCCATCTCAAGAATCAGTATCTTAAAATTTCTACCTAAATGATGAAAATAAGCCCTTGGTTGCTCACAAAGCATGTACAGATCTGTGAAGTTTGTGTTACTGTAGTTGCAGCCCCTGCCCCTTCTCTAATTTTGTTCTCGTATCCTGTGCAAAGAGATCAGGAGGATCTGCTTGCAGAAATGCACAGGAGTCTCTTGGTTAGCTGAGTCTGCAGAATCAATTGGCAGCCTCGTGAGGAAACTTTTCTGGTGGAGTTTCTTCTTATATCTGATTCTGACAGGAATAGATAGGAATTCAGAAGAAACACGGGAGTGTTTCTCACAGATTCGGTCACTTTTGCTCTGTGACTTGACTTAGGGGGTCATCTGTGCGAGTGGTCAGATTGAGTTAAAAGTCGTTAAACTTGGTGACCGATTGGTAGAACTGGAGGTAATCAACAGAGCAGTTTTGCTTTGGTCAAGCCTCAGTGTGTAATATTTTACCTTTTGTTTAGCTCTCGCTGCCCTCACCCAGCAGCAGCGGGCGAGGAGGGGCCCTTCCTGTGGGAAGAGCTGGGACCCGGCACCGTGAGGGTGGTGTGTGAGTCCTGCAGCGGGTGGGCCGTGGGGCGGCTCTGCCGGCCCTGCCCTCGGCCCTGTGCTTTCCCACACAGCCGGGCAGTGTGTGCCTGGTGTGGGCTCGCTGAGCTCTCGCTGTCCCCAGGCACACCCAGCCGGGAGCTGAGGGGTCTCTGTGCCGGGCCCGGCAGGCCCCGCGGCCCCTCAGCCCTCAGAGGAGTTCCTGAGGGAACACTGCCCTTCTGTGTGCTTGGAAACGGCCTCGTGCTGCCTGGAGATGGAAGGGTGCTTTATGGAATCTGACAGCTAAGCTGGAACAGGATTACTGAGGTTGTATTTTTGAAATATAATTCACTTTTTGACGTTAGATTAGCGTGGTAGATAGAGCACAGTTAAGTAATTCAGGACCGGGCCGCCGCCGTGTAAATGAAATAACTACCACCCTAAAAGGTCTGTGCTTCAGGAGAAATTGAGTCTTAGCAGCCATATCAGTTATAAGTGTGGGCATATTTGGTAACAGCAGACAAACTCCTGATGGGTTCCAGTTCCTGAAGCATTTAAGCATGTATGTAACTCCACTGTGCATTTCAGACTCACTGTGTGCTGGGGTACTGAGTCTGGGTGTTACTCTGGAAGTACCTCTATTTCTAAAGTGTAATGCTGCTGGAACACTTACAGTGGAGGTTTTTATTTGCTCGATAAACACCATCCACTTTTGACTTCACTGTTCTGTGTTGGATGTTGTTCCTTTTGGGTAGAGCACCGATTCTGATTGGGATCTTACTGAGATCAATGTGTTCCCGTATTTTTCAGCTTTCCAGTGATAAGAGGGATGGATCGTAGACAAAAGTGGGAAGAGAGAGTATGTACATGAAAACCCCTGACATTTAAAGAAGATAGAAAGTCCATAAATAGTCTGTTAAATGTTGAGACACCATATTGATCTCCTTAGGGTGGGCTAATAAATATTTTAAGAGCTACTTAAATAGACAAAGGAGATTGGAAAGACTTTAAGAGTTAAATTGTCAAATTTTCCACTTTCCAAGACTTTGATGGTGCCTTTTCTTTCCTGGTAAAACTAGTATTCTATGAACACACCTGTGGCTCAGGAGTTGGGACATGGCCATGTGCTTAAGGTGAGGCTGTTCTTAAACTCTTTCGGGCATAACAGTAGGACAGGAATCGTGTTCTAGAGATCCCTCCCAGGTGGCCTCTGCCTGTCCCGGGACCCGCAGGTCCTGGGATGGAAGGAGCAAGCAGATTTCTCTGTCCTGCAGAATGGGAACAGCACGGAGCTGGAAATTAGTAGCTTGCAATGGCCTGAGCTGCTCTTTCCTCAGACATGGTTGCCCTTTTGAGGCATCTTCTATGAAATAAAAACACACAGAGAGCTTCAAATGGAAAACAATGGAAAGAGAAAAGTATTAAAATGACTATTTACTCACCAAGTTTTGTAGACTGATAAGATTACTCCTGTAAAACCAAATGACCAGCCAAACAAACATGTAAGATCATGATATTGAGAGACTGATTTTAACTAAATCACTGTAGAGTCTTGCTGCTTGTGGGAGTTTTTCCTTACTAGATTTCATTTTGAGAAGGTTTCTTAATGCAAACAGACTTGGCACATTTTAGTCCCCTGAAACTGAGCTGTCTTAAATGACAAATCTTATTTTTGACAAGATATTATAGTAAATATGATGTATAACATTGCATTACATAACAGTGGTATTCCTAAATGAGTCTTATGGTAGAGTTCCAGGTTAAAATTCAAGACAAGCCCTGTATAGTACAGTATTTGATCCACGTATATCCTAAATTCCTTATGGAAAGATAAAGCTTGGGAGAAGACAAATACACCTTTTTTTTTCTAATATGACATAATGGGGCACTGAAGGATCAGGGTCACCGTGTCAAAAATTGTGAAGTCCTATTTAAACTGCAGGACAGAAGGCTGGACTCAGACCTGCTCAGCTGTGCTGGCCCTGAGGCTGAGAACGGGGGCAGGAACTCGCTGATGCTGTCTCGCTTGTCAGTCTGACCTAGTGGTGTCGCTGCGCTGGAACACAGAGCAGCTGTTTGGAAAATCTGTGTCAGTGCAGGAGACAAACCTGGATGCTTGCATTTAACCCGGTGCCAAACAACACAGGTTTCTGAGTTTTCATGAGTTCTCTCAGTAGGCAGACAGTAAAGGAGAAGTGTCGAGTGTATACCCGGGGTTTGGACTGATACAGTACAAATGTCTTAGCACAGAATACTGGAGTAATTCTGTCTGCTCATTTTCGTTGTTGAAGCTGTTTGCTGCATTTCAGACAGGTTAAAATAGACTGTTTTTCTGACTCTTGGGACTGACATTCAGCTTGCCTATTATGTCTTATTAAAGGCTCTGTCAGGTTTGAAAATCAGAAGTGTTCGAATAAAAATAGCGTCTGGAGAGGGAGGCACAATATGCTTTCGTTTTCTAGCCTGTTAATACCTGAAGAGTGGGAAGGGAGGGACGGTTTACTACAGGACTGGGGGCTACTTTAGTCCTTTCTTTAACTGAAAAGGGGGAAAAGTGTTTATTTGTTAGGGAACAGCCTGTATGTGTATGTACACAGAATAGCGATTGATTTGCTGATGGTACTGGCAGACACGTGTGCATTTCACGCCCTTGGAGGAGAATTTGCAGGGATTCTGTTTCCCTTTGTGGAGGTAATTAAGCCACACAACAGCTGTCTGGCAAACATTAGCACTCCACTGCCTGGTCCCAGGAGAGCAGAGGCAAGGCAGGAATGATGTGACCAAGAGACCGGCAGGACTGGGGTGAGAATCAAATCTGAACCAAGCCCTTCGTGGTTAAGTGAGGCACGTTGTGGCTGAGAAGGATGGACTCTATGGGGTTATACTTCCAACACCTCATACAGCTGCTACACAAATCATGGAATCCTTTAGGTTGGAAAAGACCTCTAGGATTATCAAGTCCAACTGTCAAATGCAGAAGAGAAAGTAATTTTATGTGTCAAGACAAAAGATACAGCTGTGCTAAATGCTCCACAAACACATAATAAGAGGAATTCTCTTTGTGACCCTGCTCAGTCTGTCTAAAAGAGAAGGAAGTCTCCTCTAAATTTCTTGAAAACCATACAGCAAGGTAAGCTCTGCCCCAGCTGAGCAAGATTTAGGCATGTCTCTTGATTTTCTTGTTGAATCAAGACCATATACTAGTTAAAGAGGACACCTTTCAATTAATGCCATTTCTCAAAATGCAATGTACATTGCATTGTTTCACAGAATCATTTAGGTTAGAAGCACAAGCTCCTAAAACCACATGGTTTGTACAGTATCCTCCTGATCTATAAATAAGCAATCTATGACCTTTGTAGTCTGGAAGCCTGTTAAAGACCCTGGCAGCACATCACACAATATCTTAATATAACTTCCCAGCTCTTTGTGGGAGGCTGCCTCCGTGTCACCGAGAAATGGAGCTGGAGGTGACAGTTCAGGTTGTGCCACCTCCTTCCGGAACCAGTTCAGTCCTGCAGCCAGTGCTGTGTCTTACTGGGCATTTATAGCTTAGGGAGTCAGTTCCACTGCAAACAGTCCTGGGCACAGTGCAGACGGACACAGAGTGCAGGCAAAGGTACAGCTCTGCTACTGCATTAAGGTACTGAGATTAAGTGTGTGTTTACCAGGTTTCTGTTTCAGTGAAAATTATAATAATGAATGCCATTAAGTACAGTTCAGTAAAGATGCAATTTAGAATGTTAAAATATTTATGTGAGCTCTAAAATGCCACCCTAAGTAGCTGTTATATTAAAATTGCATATTAAAACAAAATACAAATTTCCCTTCCCTACTTAGTGTCAGTTACTTCATTTTGATTACTGAAAATATTTTGCAGTTGTTTTTCAGTTTTCTCATTTTTCTCTCCTTAGATAAATGAACTTAGAATTTTAATGAATTTATGCTTAGAACCTTCAATACTTGAACTTCTATATGCTTTGATAATTAAAACGAAAAGCAAAATAAAATTAAAAAGTGTAAAACACAGGCATAGTGTTTCCACAGAGCCAGAATGTTTTCAGTTTTCTTACATGTCACACTATTCTGGAGCATGGTATTAATATTCGAAGCAAATATGCGTTCAACTGTAGGAATGCTTTCTTAAGTCTTTTCCTTGGGTGTCAGGGCTCCAGTAAGCTGTTTAACCCAGGAGTGTGACGGGAGGACTCTTCCAGTGACACTTGCTGAAATAATATTTGTTAGAGTGCACGTGGTAAGGCAGCCACTTGATTCAAGAAGTCTAGAAAATGCAGTGATACTTCAGGTGAAAGTGGTGTATTCCACTGGCAAAGATTGTGATCTTTTTGTAAAAAGAAATTCTATTCATTTTAGACAGAACTTGTGATTTTTAGGGTTATACTTGCATTTGTGGTGTGTATTAGTACATAATTTAGTTTACATATTTCATCTACATCCTTGTAGCTCGATGCAGATCTGTCAGTGTCTAGTTAAGTGTCTACTCTGAGGATATTTTTATCAGTGATAACACAAAGGAAATTGAAACTAAAGACTTCCTCTTAGACTTGGCGGTTCATCCACTGTTCTGCTCTTGAATTAATGAATGCTCAGTGCAACACTGCAAATGAAAAATGAGCTGCTGTTGAAAGGGAAATCCAGGTATGTTTTATGGATCATTTGCTTTTCTTGCCTCCTTGTGACTGCACAAGCGCTGCGTTTTGGGGAGAGTAAGTTCTAAAGGCAGCTGTCAGAACCAGGACAGAGATTTGGTTTAGTCACTGGTCTCCATGCAAATGGGTTTCTCTTGCCTTTCCTCCTTTCCTGCTGCCCAAGGATAAAATGGTTTTTGGAGTCCCAGAGTTTGTGGCCCCAGTTACGTGAGTATGTGTTGTGAGAATTAGTAGTGCCAGTGGAACTCAGGGTTGATAAATGCTACTATTATTTTACAATTGGATATTAAATGTTACCTGTATCACCCTCTCAGGAAAACACGCTGCACTTCCAGGGAAGAAACACATAACGTGACATGAAGGAAATGAGAACATGTTTAAATGGAGTGTCTCCAGGATAGTCAAGGGAGAGATTGAACTGGAATTCAGCTGAAGTCTTCTGTAGGTACACGCACTGGTGAAGAATTAACAGAATGGGAGAGCCAAAGGGATATGCTCAGCTTGCTGCTTTCCCCCCCAGGGAAGTCTGATGCGTGTTTCTAGTGTCATT